TCGCCCATGACACAAACAAGCCATGAATCCCAAGCCCGAAAACCCCTAACCCCTAAACCCTAAATCCTAAACCCTAAGCCCTAAACCCCAAACCCTAAACCCTAAACCCTAGCTTTGGGATTCTGGAGAGGGCCCCGCGCCAACTCCACGCTCTGCGTGAAGTGGACGGCAAAGCGGGCCGCGTAGCTCTTGGGTGGAATCGTCGCTTTGTTCCTTTGCTGCGCAAGAAGTGCTTGGAGGTGCAGGGTAATTACCAAACATTAGGGTTTAGGGTTTAGGGTTTAGGGTTTATCCAAGAATTACCCTAAGGGTCCATGTACCTTGTTGTTATATCCTTGGGCCCCAAAGTCCTTACAAAGGAGGTACTCTAATAGGGCCGAGTACACCCTGTTTGAGTACATGGACCCTTAGGGTCCGTACTTGGAGGTTCAGGGTAGGGTTTCTGGTGTAGGGTTTATGCGTCTAGGGTGTAATGCAATTACAAGTGCAGTCATAACACACTTAGAGAAGGCTCTTTAAGTACCTCATAAGTGCAGCTTGATTTGGGTTACCAAGTATCCTGAACCTCCAACTGAAAGAGAGAAACTGACATCGGCACACAGGTAGCACCGGGCTTCCTACAAAAACAGTTTAGGGTTTAGGTGTTAGAAAGTGCCGCCATTCACTTCCAAGTTTTGAAACCCCAACACCCACAAAAATCAAAACCGCAAAGCCCCAAACACCCCGAACCCCCCCCCCCCCCCCCCCCCCCCCCAAACAAAAAAAAAAAAAAAGCACCCAAAACCTCAGAAGATCCCAAAATCCCAAAAACCCGACACACACCAACGCCCTGAAGCTCGTGAATCCGTCAGATGAAGGCCCCTAAACCCTAAGCCCTAAACCCTAAACCCTAAACCCTAAACCTCATGTGAAGGCAAGCCTCTGCTCAAGGACCTTCAAGACCCTCGCGACTCCTGGGCAGGACTTCTGTCGACCTAGAGTAAGACCTAGAGTTACCTACATACTTTTTTTAAAAAAGAGGGATGGGTTTAACTGTAGACACCAAAAACATAAATAGGAAACTTGTCTCATATACACTGTGAAGAAGAAGGAAGGGTTTAGGGTTTAGGCTTGAAAAGTTGAGGGTGTGCTGGGTCTACTGACCCTTGTTTAAACGGTTGCCGTGCTTCTCTTCTAAACCCTAAACCCTAAACCCTTAACCCTAAACCCTAAACCCTACACCCTAAACCCCAAACCCTAAACCGAAGCAACCTCAGGCCCTGATGGCAGTCGAGGCGCTCTTCCCCATGGTCCACCGTTGCCTCCAGCTCTTGGGTTTAGGGTTTAGGGTTTAGGGTTTAGGGTTTAGGGTTTAGGGTTTAGGGTTTAGGGCTTAGGGGCTCAGAACTTTGGGATTTCGTGTTCGGGGTCTTTGGGCTAAGGGCTTCGGATCTCTCCAGGCCATGCAGCCCGAAAATGAAAGCTTAAACCAAGAAAAAGCTGGCCGTTCAGAAGGCTCCCCGTCAAAAAGCAACAATGAACACAAATAAGCAACCAGAGATATATGTGTACATGCAGATCGACTATGCTTCTCTCTCTCTGTCTATGTATATATATATATATATAAGACGTAAGCTTGTTACTCAACAATGACTTGATACACCCCAATCCCAAATCCTCAACACTAGCAGGTCATATGGTTCGCAAGGGGGTGTAAGGCGCCGACAGAAAGTCGATGATGGAGATGTACACGGCCGTTGTTTGACCGGCCCTGCAATGTGGCGCATTTGGGTTTAGGGATTAAAGGTTTAGGGTTAGGGTTTAGGGTTTAAGGTGTAGGGTTTAGGGCTTACAGGTTTAGGGTTGAAGATGCAGTGAAGACCCGAGTATGACTGTCAAGGGAACTCCCTCGCCCATACGTCGGAGCTTCAACCCTAAACCCTAAACCCCCAACCCTTGATTTCCGGGCACCTCCGCTGCAAGATGCGCCAGAGTATGGTCCGAAGCTGCTAACCGCAACCTCCTCCGACTCCAAAAAGCACGCAACACCCGCAGAGCTGGCCTAGACTTTATCGGGCTTAGAGGGTTTACGTTTATAGAGTCCATATGTAGGGTTTATCGGGTTTTATGGAGTTTATAGAGCTTATAATAGGGCTTGCAGAGTTTAAATGTACATGTGTATGTAGAGAAATTTACAGGGTTTATGGAGTTTCTATAATCTGTAGGGCTTATGGGTTTATATGTATAAACAAATATATATATATATGTGCATATATATATATAACTTTTCTTATAGAGTTTATGAGCATGCTTGTAAGGTCTGTTGGGTTTAGGGGAGCCGCCTTCCGGGCTGGATGTAAGGTCGGCCGACGCGCGGCGAGAAGTCGGGGCCCGTCGTCTCCTGTCGAGACGTTTCATCGAGGTTGGGGTCCCTAAAGAGGGTTTAGGGTTTTGGGTTAGGGATTGGGGTTTAGGGTTTAGGGTTTAGGGTTTAGGGTTGAGGGTTGAGAGTTGAGAGTTGAGGGTTGAGGGAGGCCCTCTGAAACATATCCTGGGACTCACTTCCATACAGCTGATTAGTCATTCATTCGTTGGGTTAACGCATGAAACTCCAAGTAGACAAAGTCCCAAGATATTCCCAAAGAGGATCCTCTTAAGCTAGGGTTGAGGGATATATAGGGTTTATAGAGTGTTTAGAGAGTGTATAGGGTTTATGGGGTTTACAGGCTTTATAGGTTTTATCTGGTTTATATGCATATAGGGTTTGTAGGGTTTACAGGGTTGACGGGCTGACAACCTCTCGCAGGGGCCTACCCAGTAGTGTAGGAGCCACCGCCACAACATTATGTAATTGAACCCACAACCTACTTTCTTCAGGTTATTTCGAAAAACCATATAGGATTCCTTGGTAACCTACACCAAATTAAGTTATGGGTTCTTAAGGTACCTTAACCCCGAACCCTGAATCCTAAACCCTAAACCCTAAGTTAAACAAAAAGGGTCAAGCTTAGGTTTCAGGCTTCGGGGTTGTTTAGGGTTTAATGTTTAGGGTCTAGGGTTTCGGGGCTATGCCCCCTTTTTTTGACAGCAACCCCAAGTCCTTGATGCCCACCAGCAGGCCTCAACAGGCAGACAACATTTCTTGCGCCGCTGGAAGAATCGCAGAACCCGCTTAGCGGCGCAGCCCCCTGTTTCTTAGCAGGGAATAAGGGAATCAGGGCCCTATGTGTGTCCATTTCTATATACATATATATATATATATATTCCCTTCAAGAGACATGTAGGGTACGTCATTCCCTCATTCCCTACTAAGAACCAGCCAGGCATTGAGGGTTTGGTGTCTAGGCTGCTTTCGGGCAGTGCTCAGAAAATGAGGTACTGCGCGTTAGAGGGAGAAGAGATTTAGGGTTTAGGGTTTAGGGTTTAGGGTTTAGGGTTTAGGGTTTAGGGTTTCTTTTCTTATGGGGACTATCGGGAGTGTTTGGGACATTTCAAGGGCCCGTTTGTTCTCCCTCATGATGCCTGTTTGGGTACCCTCAGCTATACTAGGCCCGAGACTCACCTAGGAATGAAAAGGGTGCCCTTTTTGGGGGGCTTATGTGGGAACCTAAACTCTAGACAAAGGGAATAAGGGCCAACTCTGGGTCCTAGTAAAATGGCATCTCTATATGCATAGTATCCACGCACCCATGCATGAACTTCGGTCCAAAACCAAACATGTGCAGGGTTTAGGGTTTGGTTTAGGGTTTAGGGTTTCGGGCTACAAGAGACGGCCAGCCCCCTGGTGCATGGCGGGTGGCTGTAGTCCATGAGCTGATGGCCCCCGAGCCAGGACACCTGGCTATCGCAGGAAGCTTCCTGAAGTTAAGGGTTTAGGGTTTAGGGTTTAGGGTTCAAGGTTTAGGGTTTAGGGTTAAGGTTTTGGGTTGAGGGGCAGGGGGGGGGGGGGGGGGGGGGGGGGGGGAAGGGGGGGGAGGGGGGGGAAGGGGGGGGGGGGGGGAGGGGGGGGGGAGGGCGGGGGGAGGGGGGGGGGGGGGGGGGAGGGGGGGGGGAGGGGGGGGGGGGGGGGGGGGGGGGGAGGGGGGGGGATGGGGGGGGATGGGGGGGCGAGGGGGGGGGGGGGAGGGGAGGGGGAGGGAGGGGGCGGGGGGGAGGGGGGGGGGGGGGGTGGGGGAGGGGGGCGGGGAGGGGGGGGCGTCGGATCTTATGCAACCCAACGCACAACTCATACAACCTACGCCTTGCTGCTTCAGTTTGGTTTTGAAGACTATGGTGGGGTTTTCGGTTGCGGGTTGAACTCCTTGCTAACTGCTAACCCTACTTGATGCGTCCAAAGGGCTTCCACGTATGTTGCCCCCTAAACCCTAAACCCTGAACCCTACACCCTAAATCCTAAACCCTGAACCCTACACCCTAAACCCCAAGTCCTGAACCCTCGCTCCAAAATGGCAAATGGCTCGTTTTTTGTCCGGCATTCAGCTTCTTGGAGGTTCAGGGCACTTATAACCCCTCTATAAGTGTAGATATGACTCACGTATAAGCCCCTTAAGTACCCTGATAGGGTCTCAATTGGGTTACAAGTACAGTTATAACTGGGTTCAACCCTAAACCCTAAACCCTAGACCCTAGACCCTAGACCCTAGACCCTAGACCCTAGACCCTAAACCCTAAACCCTAGACCCTGGACCCTAAACCCTTATATTTGGGTTACTAAGTACCCTGAACCTCCAAAACCTCGTGGCTGCCAGGGCACGTCGCGTCGGAGGGCTTCTAAGAATGCGTCCCGCTGGCGAAGAAGCAACGGGATCTTGACCTGTCTTGGTTGGGTGGAAGAGAAAACTTGGGTTTTTGGGGTTCAGAGCTTTGGGTGGAAGGGTTTTTGGGTTTTGGGGTTCAGAGTTTAGGGCTTCTAGGGTTGTAGGGCTATAGGATTTTTAGGGTCGGAGGTTCTGGATCTTGACCTTGGTTTGATTTCGATATCTGGTTATGTGCTCTGCATGTGACTCTTCTTTTCCTCTGTTTTATCCAGCTCCAGCGATGAACGCCTTGAAGTCTCGGATGTCATGCTCTACGAAGGTGAGGCCCATCCTTTCAAGATATGCCACTTCGGCAGTCTGAGAGGCACCCAGGCCGCTCTTCTGTCGAGCTCTCTCCTTCGCAGCTTCATCCGAAAGATGATCCCAGGGCACCTTTCCTTGGCCCTTGCGCTCTGCAAAGTAGAACACATGAAGCTCCTGCCCGAGTTGTGCTGCAAGGTCCAAGTTCTGCTTCCACTTCTCGAACCACTGACACCCCCACGGCGCTCGTCCATCTTTCTCAAAGCAGAGCTGTTGCGCGTTCTTTGCAGCCTGTGCGAGCTGGATTTGCCACTCGGTGTCAGACTGGTCACTCTTGATGACCAACAGTTGGCCCATGGCGGAGGCATCGCTTCGCTTGAAGGAAAGCAGCTGCCGGTTGGCTTGACAGTCAATGTGTTCTGGCTCGACCTCCACTACACAGAGATATGTTTCGGCTGGAACTCGGCCGTAGATGCTGTGGCACCAACACTTCCCTGGTGTGTCCGGGTTCTCCGAATGTTGCCCAAGGCCCGACTCGGCATCGGTCAAGAAGACGCACGCCAAAGACCACGGCTCCACCGCTGCTTTCACGTGATGCGACGTCACAGCTGAAACAGCTTCGTCCCAGAGTTCACTGTACTTGCCTGGAAACGACACGACGCACTTGGCAGCCGTCTGGTTTATATGTCCAGGAAACGCAATGCGCTTCGATGCGAAGCCGAATCCAGACAAGTCCGCGAGCCGGCGGAAGGCATCCATTGGCCGATTCCATTGCTTCGGCCCGACCATCCCGCTCAGTATCAAGGTATTGCAGATTTGAAGAAAGATGTCCACCGTCAGCCATGTCGACCACTCCCTTGTTTCATATGTGTCATCAGACAGCCAGTATCTCATCAAGGCCCAAACACTCAGAGCAGGCCCTAGAAGAACCAGGAACGCATTCCCGAAGAGCAGAACTGCCGTGGACGCGACGGCCAAATCGTCACCAGAAGCCCGCAGAGCTCTGCATGCCACAATGCACAGGGTGCAAAACTGGATGCATACAATCACGCATAAGCATAGGAAGGACAGCAGCCCCAGATTCTCAACTGACTCAGGCAGATGCCACAATGGCTCAGACATGAACATAGCGAACCGAATTCCAAACATCAAGGTGAACACGATGCCCGTCACGGCGAGGATATGACAAAGCTTGGCCGCGAAACGTCGGCCGAGGGCAAACAGCTTAAGATTTGTCATGTGCACCTGCATGAAGTTGCACGCAACCTCCCACAACAGTGTACCTCCTTTGCAGACAATGAAAATTGCCATTTCGTCGTTGAGGTGGGGAACGGAAAACACCAAGCCTCGGAAACCGTCATCACCCACACAGAAGGCCAGCCAAAAGATCGCGCGGCGACTCCAGATGTGTAGCAACGACTTCTCCGAGAATCGGTCGTTCTTGCGAAGGAAGAAATAGATTCCCAATGCAGTCATCACTGGCCGCAGTACAGCATCGCACGTCAAATACAAACCGTCCAAACCATTTACGCAGAGATTCGCAACGACGCGTGCCAAAGTGTAAGCTGCCAGTGCCAATCTGGCTGTCCTCGTAACCCTGCCAGGCTCCGAATTTGTCTCCAGATGCTCGCCCAGCTCCTAGTTCAGGGTTGGGATAGTATTAAAATTTATTGAATTTATTTCCTTATTGGGTTTAAGTACCCTTAAAAATGCAAAATGTTACCCAACTATGACAGAGGCTCTGCCAGAGTTGTCCTTCTGCGCCCTGGCCTTTGTGGCTGCTGCATGGCAGCCACACCTTGGTCGCCCAGTCACCATACTACAAACAAGGGCACCCCTTTTTTGGGGGTTGGCGACTGAAAAAGACAACCCAGAAGCAAAACAAAAAGAAGAGCTAAAGGGCACCACTGGGCTATATAACCCCCAAATAGCCCCTCTACTACCCCAAGACATACCTTATCATGTCTCTCTGTGTACTAACCACTGGGCTACCAAGACACTGGCCCCCCTGAGTGGCAGCTCCACGCCTTCACCCGTGAGATCTCGGGCCATGGCTTAGCTTGTCAGAGCTTGGGCTGATTTCCATAAAGAAGTCAAGAAGCCCTAAACCCTAAACCCTAAACCCTAAACCCTAAACCCTAAACCCTAAACCTATTTCACCGGCCAATGCATCTCACCAAGCACTGTGAGTTTTGTTCTTGTGTGCAGGAAGTATACATGAACCCTACAGCATGTGGTTTGACCACCGGTCGTGCAGACACCACCCCACCCTGCTCATGAATCTGCGTAGCGTCTGGGGATACCCCTGCTCTGCAAAGCTTGTTGCAGGTGAAGGACCCTCATTAGGGTTTAGGGTTTAGGGTTTAGGGTCTAGGGTTTAGGGTTTTTCCGAACCGTTACCTACGTCAGCAAATCCTTCAAAGTCCTTGCAAAAAAAACACAAAACTGGGCATTCCCGTAGAGATATTCTCCTCTTAGGTACTCCAAAGCGCTATTAACCCTTATTCTCGCAGCAAATACCCCCCCCCCCCCTAAACCCTAAACCCTAAACCCTAAACCCTAAACCCTAAACCCTAAACCCTAAACCCTAAACCCTAAACGTTGAACCTGAAGCCGCAACGCCCTGCGCCCTTGACCTTAAACGTTTAGGGTTTATAAGGTACTCGTACCAAAAGGAGCTCCCAAGAGACAACTAGCAACAACAAGAGAGACCCCAAACCCTAAACCCTAAACCCTAAACCCTAAACCCTAAAATTTCAACTTTAAACAAGAGACCCCACACCCTAAACCCGAAATTTCTGCACTTCACCCTGTTCAGTTGGCCTGCCGGGCTTCAACTTTTCCCGCGTAGTAGCGGCGTCTCGCCTGGCGGAAGCGCTCAGTTTCGGGCTTTCGGGGGCTTTTTGGGGTGTACAGGACGTATATCATAATCGGCCCAGAGTATCCCGAAAACATGTCACTGGAGCGCCCAACCCCAGAGTATCCCCACAGTTTTTGTGCAGTGCGCAACCCCACAGTCGGACGGCCCACGATTTCATGCCCATGTTCTCTTTTATAGAACTCTCCAGGGCTTTCGGGATCAGACCTTTCGCAGGTGAACCCTGTAACACCTACACCCCAACAGCACATGGACCAATTAACCTCCCTTCCCTAAACCCTAAACCCTAAACCCTAAACCCTAAACCCTAAACCCCGAAATCCTTCCCTGCCCACGTAAGCCTGGCTCCAGGTGCATGAGCACCACATGGGAAGATTCCTTGGCATGCCACAAAGACGCTTACACCCTAAACTCCAAACTGTATACTATGGTTTAGGGTTTAGGGTTTAGGGTTTAGGGTTTAGGGTTTAGGGTTTAGGGTTTAGGGTTTAGGGTTTATATCCCTAAAACTAAGCCCTAAACTAAGAATAGCCTAAACCCTAACCCCCATACAACAACCCTCAGACTCTAGAAAACACTACGCAATATGCCAGAGAACCCTCAACCGGATTAGACCCCCGAAATGCCCCAAAGCATCCTCCACTTGAGCACCCTTAGGCTCTTGTTGCTTTGGTGTGTTCCAGAAAGCCCTGACGCTTTGTCAAGAAAACCCAAACGGATCTAGGACTTGTCCTTTGCGGTTATGGCATACTAACCCAAAACCCTAAACCCTAAACCCTAAACCCTAAACCCTAAACCCTAAACCCTAAACCCTAAACCCTCCTGAGACTGAAGGACTTGGGGTGAGTTTTTGGGGCCCCCTCGACTTGCTAACTTCCTTTGGGCTCTAGAGGCCAATTGAACTTTAAAATTTCGGATTCAAGAAAAGCCCTTGGTAAACCCTGAACCCTTCTCAGGGAAACCCTAAACCCTAAACCCTAAACCCCAAACCCTAAACCCTAAACCCTAAACCCCAAACCCTAAACCCTAAACCCTAAACCCTTCTCAGGGTCTTTCCAAAGAGTGTTTCGGGACATGAGCCACAGCCACAGTGGTGTAGGGTTGGCTTGAGGGGTTAGGGCTTAAGGCTTCGGTTTTCGGACCTAGAGGCTTTGGAGGTTTAGGGTTTAGGGTTTAGGGCTTAGGGTTTAGGGTTTAGGGTTTAGGGTTTAGGGTTGCTAGTACGGCGTGTATGCGTTGTATTCTGGAGGGTTGAGGGGAAAAAGGTTTGGGGTCTAATTAGGGGCTTCCTAGAGCACCCTTGTACCACAGCAATATGTTTCGAGGTTACTCCAGGTAGAGAACCCTAAACCCTAAACCCTAATTAATCCCCAAACCCCAAACCCTAAACCATGTAGGTGGCGGGCAATGGGAGTTGAGATTGCCAGCTACGTGAGTACGTAGGGTTTAAGGCTTAAAGCTTTGGCGAGGAACGCTAAACCCCAACCGCTAAGCCTCAAACCCTAAACCCCAAGCCCTAAACCCAAAACCTCAACCCTAAACCCCAAACCCTAAACCCTAAACCCCAAACCCTAGACCCCAAATCCTAAACCCTAAACCCCAAAGCCTAAACCATAAACCATAAACCTCAGGGCTTTGAGCATGTGCCTGCTTAGTACAACGAGCTGACAGAGTTTCCACACGCGCTTGTGAACCGCAGGTACTTTGAGGCCGTCCTTCTCCTTGGCACATGCGATTTTGATGTTGGCTGTGTGGGCCTAAACCTTAAACCCTAAACTCTAAACCCTAAACCCTAAGCCTCAAACCCCAAACCCTAAACCCCAAACCCGAACAAGTGGCTTGTGTCGGTTGATCCCCTGAACTTCGGGTCCAACAAACTCAACATCCCCTCAACCCCAAACCTAAGGGTTTCGGGTTTCGGGCTGAATAAGGCTAACATAAGCTAGCCATTCGGAACGAAGCCAGAACCAACAGAAGCCAGTTTAGGCTATTGGGTTTAGGGTTCAGGGTTTAGGCTTTAACTAGGGTTTAGGGGCGAAGGTTACCCTAAACCCTAAACTCCAAACCCTAACCCCTAGACCCTAAACCCTCAACTTTTAAGGAACCCAAAGCTCCCAGAACACGAGACATGTCTGGCCCAGGACTCCTGAGAGGTGCGAAAAGATCCCCAGAATCCACCGAAAGGGTTTAGGGTTTAGGGTTTAGGGTAGATCCCCATGCAGATACCTCCGTGCATCCAGGTTTGGAGCTTTAGGATTGTAGGGTTTAGGTTTAGGGCTTAGAGCCCAAGCCACAAGAGGCCTTGTAAGAAACCTCCACGCCCTGCACCCTGAAACCCTCAGCCCTAAGCCCCAGTGCTGCCAGGTGGCTAGCAGCTTGTCGTCGGCGCAGCCCTTGAGGTCATAGAGGACCTTGCGAAGATCACCCGAAAACCCTAAACCCTAAACCCTAAACCCTAAACCCTAAAACCCTAAACCCTAAACCCTAAACCCGAAACCCTAACCGTTAAGGCCCCAGGGCTGGTTCAGTTTGGGGCCTTTGGGTTGAAGGTTTGGGGTTTTTGGGGTAGTCTAGAGGTAAGAGACTTCAGTTAGGCCTCGGCGTGCGTTGACCGACAATGCCTCGAACTTCTGGCCCCCTGAGCACTGAGGCCTCTATCCTACAGACACTCCGAAAGGAGAGTTGGAGTGGCCACAAGGGAATCCTAAATGAAATACTCCGCGTGATGGGTAAAGCGGATGATAGATAGAGCAGGGTCTTGGAAGCATGGGATATCCAGGCACCAACCCTAAACCCTGAGCCCTGAAGCCTTAACCCTAACTTGGTAATTAAGCCCCGCAGCCATACTGCAACAAGCGTGCCCTGTTTTGGGCTGGTTACTTTACTAAAGGAACCTTGAAGCAAGAAATGGAAAAAGGGCACCACTGGGCCCTAAACCCTAAACCCTAAACCCTAAAACCCTAAACCCTAAACCCTAAACCCTAAACCCTAAACCCTAAACCCTAAACCCTAAACCCTAAACCTAAACCCAGTGAACCCCCAAGCTGATTCAGGGCTGCAAAAGCGCGCGCCAGGCTGCTTTGAAAGGCCCGGATCCAATTGCATTCCTTGCTTTCTCCAGGCTTCAAACGGTTCTGAGAGTTTAGGGTTTAGGGTTTTAAGGTTCAGGATGAAGGTTTAGGGTCAGGTTTTGCGGTTTTCGTGGTTTGAGGTTTAAGTTCGGGTGAATGCATATAGGGTTCAGTTTTCCTAAATCTTGGTGAGTGTGTGTTCTTAGAGTCAGCCCCCTACTTCACCAATCTAGGGTACGTAAAGAGCCTATGAGTGGATTTTAACAACACTTATACTTGGGGGGCTGCGGGTGCAAAACCTGAAAACTCACTCCTCCACATGCCTGGTCCCCTTCGGCAAGTACCCCTACATACACGGGGCCGAATTTATGGCAGGGAATGAAGCAAAAATGGGGACCATGCTTGCAAGAGCTGACCGCGTAAGTAGGATTCAGGAATGGGTTTAGCCCTTACACGCACCATATGAGTATGTACTTGGGCCTGCAAAGTCCCTTTATGCGCAACACTTGAAGGCTCAAGTACTCTCCACTAAGGTACCATGCACCTTCAAATTAGGGGGTTTCGGGCATGTTGCGGGGCTTCCGGCTTCTGGAGCTTAGGGATTCGGGGTTGTCTAAGGGTTGTGACATGGACCCCTTCTATACCCCTTATACACCCTAGAAAACCCAAGGGCCCATACTTCAGAACCATTTTGTAAAGGTAAGGGACCATGTTTAGGGACCGTGTAGCTACTTTAGGGTTTAGGGTTTAGGGTTTAGGGTTTAGGGTTTAGGGTTTAGGGTTTAGGGTTTAGGCCCCCCCTCTCTGCTAGATTCGAAGCTAGCTGCCCCCTGAGCACGCTAAGATGTTATCCGGAAGGTATGGAGTTTTCAAGCCTGTCCCCCACGCCTGGATCCTAGAAACCTGAACTTCGACAACCCTCTTAGGATACTCAAGCGGCTTCGAAGTGGGAGTGAGAACTACACTTAGAATTGGGATACTATGTACCCTGAACTTCCAAGTAGACCCTGAACTTCGTAAGCACAGCTGCTGCATGGCAAAGAAGAAGCGATTTGTGGTCACATCTCCTGCAAGACAGAGTCATCCGCACCAAGGGCTTCGTG